TGTATGTATGTATGTATGTATGATATATACTAGTATATATACATATATAGATAATGGTTGTGTAGGCAGGTATAGGTACATGCATACGTGTATGTGCATGTGTGTATATATATATATATACATACATATGTGTGTGTGCATCTGTGCAAGTTTGTCTGGGATCTTGCTTATCGATAGAGCGTCATTGCTGCATCGGATAGATAGGCCGACATCCCAGGATCCCGACTCCGCCCGAAAGCCAACGGTTCAGGGCTCAGGACTTAGGCCAAAGTGCTCAGGGTTCGGGAATTCACAAGGATTTGGGTTTAGGGTTTAGGGTTTAGGCTTTAGGGTTTAGGGTTTAGGGGTTCAGGGTTTAGGGTTTAGGGGTTTAGGGGATTAGGGGTTTAGGGGATTAGGGGTTTAGGGGTTCAGGTGTTCAGGAGTCCACGAGGATTTAGGATGCCCCCTGAGGTGGAGAACAGCTCGGCACCGCACGCCAAGTCGCCAATCCTACCACAAGACGGTGCTTTGGGTTTTGGGTTATAGGGTTTATAGGGTTTATAGGGTTCAGGATTTAGGGCGTTCAGGGTTTCGGGTTAGGGTCTTTAGGGCTTAGGGTGTTGAGTATGCTTTCAGGGTAAGTTCAGGGTTTCGGAAGTCCCAGTTCCTGGTTTGGGGCTTGGGTGTTGGCATAGAGTTGACAGAAACCCAACACAAGACTAAGCCGTCAACCGCAAATGCTGGCCTGGGGCTGAAAATGGTTCCCTTGAGTTCCACTCCTAAGCCCTGAACCCTGTCAACCTCGAACCCTAAATGTCACAGGACATTGCAGCTGTTCAGCGTTGTAGAAAGGAGTCCGAAATGCATCTGGGAGTGAGTCAAGGCTCGGTAGCTGAGTTGAGTAGCGAAGGCCGAAACGACAGGAGGAAGAAACAATGCTGAGAATCGTACAGGCGAGAACGATTTCCCAAACATCGCCTGATCGCTAAAGAACCACTTCCTGCGACTCCAAATCCTATTACAATACTAGGTTATGATCCCTCAAGTAAAGGGTAGAGCCGTTAAAACGGCTGGATTTTGGATTCTCAGGTAGTGATTCTGTATCAGCCTAGCAATCGGCATGGCAAGGACCTCAAGTGTAACTATATTGAGGCCCCTTGTGCAGGACCCCCCAGAGTCACCCCTAAAGTCACCTCTAGGGTTTAGGGTTTAAAAAATTTAGGGTTTAGGGTCCAGGGTTTAAAATTTAAGGTTTAAGGTTTAGGGCTTCAAAATCAGGGTTTAGGGTTTAGGGCGTAAAATTTCGGGTTTAGGGTTTAGGGCTTAAAATTTAGGGTTTAGGGTTTAAGGCAGGATCGCTACAGAGTGAGAAACCTATTCTAAGTACGATTCTCACTGTGAAGGCCTCAAAACCCTCAAACCCCCCCTAAAACCGCAACCCAAAACCCCGAAACCCTAAACCCCTAAACCCTAAGCCCTAAACCCCAAAACCCTAAACCCTCAAGCCTAAGCCCCCCCTGAACTCTGAACTCTCTACCCCCGGCGTCGCCTCAAGTCTTTCGACCCCTCTATCAAATCTTCAACCCCATAGCCTGTAAACCCTGAAGCCTACACCACCAAAACCAAAACCCTACACCCTAAACCCCAAACCCCAAAACCCTAAACCCCTTCACCTTAAACCCCTACACCCTAAACCCTAAAACCCCAAAACCCTACGCCCTAAACGCCAAAACCCTACACCCCAAAACTCTACACCCTAATTAGACCCTAAACCCTAAAACTCTACACCAACCAGCCCACCAACCTAAACCCCAACACCCTAAACCCCAAAACTCTACACCCTAAACCCTAAACACCAAAACTCTACACCCTAAAACCCTACACCCTAAACCCCAAAACCCTAAAACTCCAAAACTCTACACCCTAAACCCTAAACACCAAAACTCTACACCCTAAAACCCAAAACCCTACACCCTAAACCCCCAAACCCTAAAACTCCAAAACTCTACACCCTAAACCCTAAACACCAAAACTCTACACCCTGAAAACCCAAAACCCTACACCCTAATCCCCAAAACCCTAAAACACCAAAACTCTACACCCTAAACCCTAAACACCAAAACTCTACACCCTAAACCCTAAACACCAAAACTCTACACCCTAAACCCTAAACCCTACACCCTAAACCCCAAAACCCTAAAACACCAAAACTCTACACCCTAAACCCTAAACACCAAAACTCTACACCCTAAACCCTAAACCCTAAAACTCTACACCCTAAACCCCTAAACCAACCAACCAACCACCAACCAACCTAAAACCCCAAACCCAAAACCCTAAACCCTAAACCCTAAAACCCAAAACCCTAAAACCGCAACCTCAAGGCGCAGCTCGGCCTCTGCGGAGGCCGAAGCCAGCGAGAAGCGGGAAGCCTGGAAAG